ATTAGGCTGCTCCCACGAAAAAGCTCTTGGTCATGAACTTCCCTGGGCTGTAGCACAAAGCTCAGGGCTGCCCAGCCCTGCCCTCCTTCCCAGCAGAGCCTGGAGCTGGTGACCTGCCAGGTCTTTGCTTTAGGTGTCCTCACCGTGCTGTGAGCCCAGCTGAGCCCCCTGGGCTGGGTTTCTGCCCTCAGAAGTGAAACAAGCACCCAGTGGCTCTCTCAAGGGGCACCTGTTACACTTGTCTGTGGCAGAGACACGAGCCCTGTCATGGCACAGCCATTCCTGGGTGCACCAGTGGGCAAAGGGATGGGGAGGTTGCCCAGGGACTGGCTCAGCAGTTTGAAGGGGCTCTTGCCTCCCTGCCACCCCCCTTTCTCTCTGAAGCAAGAGAAGTCAGCTCCTGCAGCTCCTCCTGCACGGGCAGCAGCTGCTGCTCTGGCTCCAGAACAACCACTCCTGCAGGAATTTGCCTGGAGGAGCTGGTGGGACTCCAGAGGTGTCTGATCCCAAAGCAGAAGGTGACTCTCGAGGGGATGTGCCTCCCCTTGGCTTCTCACTCCCTCGCCTTGCGCAGGAGAGCAGCAGCACCCGGGGTGGCTGCGGGCAGGGGGTGCCCGGGGTGCCCGGGTGTGTGGGGTGCCCACAGGGAGGAGGAGGAGGAGCTCACGTGGAGTTCCAGCTCCATGGGTGGGTGGTTGTGATGACGCAGCAGGAGCAGAAATCCTACAAAGTCAGGCAGGGAGGAGATCAGTATTGGATCAGTGGAAATGAGTAATCAGCAGAAACCACCAGAATTTTCTGAGCTCTTCTTACTTTTCTCACATCTTGTTACCTCCTTGCTGCAGGCAGAAGGTCCTCAGTGGGTGCCCTGTGGGATGTTTTGGGCAAGGAGTGTTGTCACTGGCACTGCCCCGTGGTGGGTTGTAGGTGGCCTTTTGTGGGGCTGGACTGGCCTGGGGACATCTGTCCTTCCTGCCAGAGCTGCAGGATGCTGCAGACACCTCCATCTCTGCCTGCATTCCAGCCCAGGTGCCCATGGACATCTGTCCTTCCTGCCAGAGCTGCAGGATGCTGCAGACACCTCCATCTCTGCCTGCATTCCAGCCCAGGTGCCCATGGACATCTGTCCTTCCTGCCAGAGCTGCAGGATGCTGCAGACACCTCCATCTCTGCCTGCATTCCAGCTCAGGGGCTCATGGACTGTGCACACCTCTGCATTCTCCATGCTGGTCCTGAGAGAGGAGGATCCTCTGTCAGGGCAGAAATATGAATATCTCAGTGCTCTCACACCAGCCTCTGGCTCCTTGAGCTGTTGTCAGCACCAGCTGGCTCCACTGGCTACAGGGATTTGTGACAAATGGGTGAAAGGCCCAGAGTCACCAGCCCTGGGAGAGAAATTGAGATCTTGGTGTAGGAAAGCAAGGCAGGGCAGCAGAGGAGAGAGGGAAGGACATCAGAGGCTGGTGGATGTGAAGCTTCAACCACAAAAACGTGGATCCAGGAGGATCCATGCTGCAGCCTCAGAGATGCCCAGAGGGGCTGATGCCTCCTGCATGAAGGACACCTCTAGGCCCATAAATAACCCTCTTGGAAATAAAGAGCTGACTCTTCATTTATTCTGCCTAGATCAAATCCTATCTGCTTATTTTTAGGCTGTGCTCTGCCTCGTGGTGCAGGCATGGGCTGGAGCCTGCAGCTCCATCCAGAGCCCTGGAGCTGACACCATTTCCTACCTGCCGAGTACCTGGATGGGATTATCCCAAGCAGGCAGGCACAGCCTCCTTCCCTCCTAAGCACATTAGCTGGGGAGGGAAGACCCCTGGAGCTGACACCATTTCCACCTGCCTGGGAGCCCTGGCCGAGTACCTGGATGGGATTATCCCGAGCAGGCAGGCACAGCCTCCTTCCCTCCTAAGCACATTAGCTGGGGAGGGAAGAAGGAAGAGGAAGCAATGACATCCCTGTGGTTTTTCAGGAGCTGCTCATGCTGGTGGCAAGCTCAGCAGAATGAAAACATTTAATTTCACAGGCTTTTTCCTCCTTTCCAGTGGCTGGAGCTGTGCAGCACACACAGACAGTGGGGCTGCAGGCAAAGTCCACTTCCAAACCCTGCCTCCCTGTGTGGGAGGAAGTTTTGTGATTAGGGTGCACCTGGGAACACATTCTTGAGCTGCTGTTTTTCTCCCCGTGTTTTCCTTTCTATCGTGTTTTCCTTTCCACCAGGTCCTTTCTAGACAGGAAAGAAATCCCAAGAACAGTAAGAATGGAAGAGATTAAATGGAGGAAATGTAACTTTCCTGTACAAACCTGCTGCTGGGGGAGGAACCCCCCACCTGCTGTTATTAGGCAGAGCCTGAGCTGTCGTGCTTTGCACGGCTGGAAGCTGTGTTTATTTTCTGAGCAAGCCCTGTTTAACTCCAAGCTTGTCTGGAGCGTTCCCAGGGAGCCCCCTGATGGCTTTAGCTTTCATCCCAATATCCTGAGTGTTAATGTTTGGAGTAGCTGGGAAGAGGCAAAACAGCAAAAGGCTTTGCAGGAGCCAGCAAGTTCAGGGTGAGATGTAGGGTGGAAATAAGCCCATTCCAGAGTGAGTGATGCCTTCTGCCTGCATGTTCCTGCCTCCCATCCCTCTTCCCGAGGCTTTTAGCATGTCCTGTTTTGAGCCAGAGCACAGAACCATCATCAGGTGCTTCTCCAGCCCCTGGCTGAGGCTGTGCTCATCACACAAGGAGTGTCCCAGGAGACTGAGTCCCACCATCCTCATGGGGTTGGGTTTTTCCTTAAATACTACTAGAGGAGGGCTGGCAGAACACTCCTGCTGTGGCAGTGGGTATGGAGAGGGCTGGGCAATGCTGTGGAGGTGGCTCACCCTGCTCTGTGAGAAGCAGTTTTGCAATGGGGTTGCACAAAGCTGGCTCTGCTGCAGGAGAAGCCAGTCCTGCCTCCCTGCAGGATCCCACACGTGATCCCACACACGGTCCCACAGGACACCCCACTCCCTGCCACAGCTTGCCAGGTTTGTGTTGGCAGGGTGAGAGCACACCCAGCTGTGTGCCAGGGGACAGCCCACCCTGCTGGGACACTTCAGACACTGAGCACAGCCCTGGGACACACACGCTGGTGCTCGACCAGCCGGCGCCTGTTTGTTCTCCTCGTGTAAGGAGAGCCGGGCCAGGGCAGCCAGCCTACTGCCACACCTCCTGGGGAGCCCTGGAGCGGTGACAGCACTGTCACACCGCTCCCGGTGCTCCCTGAGCCACCCAGGTGAGGCGAGTGGAGCCCCAGCCCAGCCTGGTGTGTGGTGCCAGCAGCAGGGCAGGAAGGAAACAGCTTGTGTTGAGGGAAGGAGCTGTCAGGAAGGAGGACAAGCCCATCCTGCAAGGAACTTGCTGGAGCCAGGCTATCCTGCCTCTGAAAAACCAGACTGGAATGGGAAATATGCCTGAGGGAACACCCGTGGTGTGAGCTGGCCGGGGAGGAGCTGGGGCTGAGGGTGTTGGTCCTGCCCGGTGGGATGAAGATGCTGGGGGAGGAGGGAGCTCTGCCCTGCTGGGATTCCCTTGTGGTTCCTGTCCTGGATCATCCCCAATGTGCTGATGGGAGCAAAGCAGCTGTGATGTGTCCCCATGGCTTTGTTGGACATGGCAGTAAGATGGAGCTGAGAACTCCTGCCATCAGAGCAATGCCAGCCCACAGGGCCTCTTGCTGCTTCAGAGAGAACCTGGGCAAGGCCTGAAGCCCTGCTGCCACCTGCAAGGGAGGAAGGACATCTGTGTGCCCAAGGCCACAGCCAGGTAATGCCCTCACTGCCCGGCCGTGTGTGGGTCCCTCCTGTGGCCGTGTCACTCCCTAAGCCCATGTGGCACAGACCAGCCTGGGAATGATCCTCCTGGGGTGCTTTACCCCAGCCACACACCCAGCCAGTTCCATGAGTTTTGTCTCTGTGGGCAGGATGGGAGGCAGGCAGGACAAACAGAGGGACAGGATGGCCTTTGTGGCAGGACAAGCCGTGGGACAGGATGGCCTTTGTGGCACCAGCACTGGCTGGGAGCCAGCGGAGCAGGTGCATGTGGGTCCCTGTGCTGCCCAGTCCAGTCCATATCAGAAAGGGTCCCACAAAGGAATCAAGAGGGAAAGGCTGGAAATGCCAGAGAGCTTGTCCTGGCCCATGGGGAGTTTTGGATTTGGTCACAGATGCTGCCTTGTCCTGCATGAGTCACTGAAAAACTCAGAGTCCTTTTCACAGTGAAACTTTCTGCACAATGTGGGCCAGCCTGGAAAAACCCCGGTGCTGCCATCCCCTCCCTGTGGTCAGGACAAGGGGACAGCCTCACAGCCTCTCTCTTCTCAATAGCTTGTTTATAAGAATGCGAACACCTCACCGAGAGAAAAAAAAACCAACTTCATGCCAAGTAGGCACTGGTTCCCCATGTCCTAATCTTGGCAACAGCTTCCTTGGTTATATTTTCATTTCTGTTTTCTCTGCCCCCGTTCCCGAGGCTGAGCAGCTGGTAAGGGACGGCAGAGCAGAGGGGCAGTGCCGGGAACACGCCTGACCTTGGGATAACACGGCGGGAGCCCTGTGCGTTTGGGACGGGCTGTGGGAACAGCAGGGCATCGCTGGGGCTGTACATCCGAGCCACAGCGATGCCAGGGACACATGGGGGACCGGTCCCTCTTATCGGTGGCAGGGGCGAGTTTGTGTCCCCTGCTCTCCCGGTGTGTCCCCCACTCTCCCGCTGTGTCCCCTGCCCTCCGCCCGCAGCCCTGCCGGCACAGCGCACCGGGGGCTGGATGGGCACGGGGAGGGCGGCACCGGGGGCCGATGCAGAGCGGGGCATCGGCTGTTTTCGCGGACGGGAGCCCGTGCCGGGTGCCGGGTGCCGGTGTCGGGGGCGGTTCTCTCGGGGCCAGCCGGTGCCAGCCGGGCCGGCCGCCAGCCCCCCCCGCCCGCCGGGCGTGCGCAGGGACCGCCCCGCTCCGCCTGCTACCGACCGGCGGCTGCCGCGGCCGGAGCGGCGGGGCCGGGCCCCCTGGGCGGGATCAGCCCCGCTCGGGGTCATCCCCCGCTCGGGATCATCCCCCGCTCGGGATCATCCCCCGCTCGGGAGCCCCCCGTGCCCGCCCGGTGCGGCTGCGGTGTCACCGCCCGCAGCAGCGGCAGCGCGGCCGGGCACGGCGACCTGCGCAACCCCGCCCGCTCCGCAGGTGAGAGCCGGGGCCGGGGGTTTCGGGGGGCAGAGGCGAGGCTGGGCTGGGCTGAGGAGCGGGGGTGACACTCCTGGGGCGCGGTGGGAGCTGCGGGCCCGGAGCCGGCGACCTCTGTGCGCGGATGTCGGGGAGGGCCCGGCCGGTCTCCGCGTCACGGCCAGGGATGCTGGCAGCCCCCCTTAGGAACAGGCATGCCAGCAGCCCCCTCTAAGGGGCAGGGATATCCGGAGCCCCCTTAGGGACACGGATGCCCGGAGCCCCCTCTAAGGGGCAGGGATGTCCGGAGCCCCCCTTAGGGGCAGGGATGTCCGGAGCCCCCTTAGGGACACGGATGCCCGGAGCCCCCTCTAAGGGGCAGGGATGCCCGCAGCCCCCTTAGGGACAGGGATGCTGGCAGCCACCGAGGCAGCAGTGACAGCTCAAATGCGGGAAGCTGCCTGGGAGGTGGGGCTGGGAAAACGAAACCTGCTCCAACGCTGCCCAGAAATCCTGCGGCTTCGTTTTGCACTGTCCCCTTGTCCCTCTGAGGTCTCAGGCCAGCGGGGTGAGAGCAGACAACGAGGTTTCTGCAGCCTGGGGAAACCCCCCAAAGCAGCTCTGCACTCTGGGGGTGCTGCTGCAGCGACCAGGGACACCCCGATACTGGCATGCCCTGAGCTGCAGGGCACCCCTCCAGGGCTCAGGGGGTGTCTCAGATCGGGCCTTTCCACCTGCCTCCACTGAACCGGGGTTTTGCTGTCACCCCAGGCAGAGGACGCTGGTCCTTGATGGGAATCCTTCTGCCCAGACCCCTTGGAAGCACCCAGAGGGGTGCAGAAAAGTCTCCTCCTGCCCATGTCCCATTGCAGCCAGTGCCATGCCACAGGCAGGGGAGGCAGCCAAGTCCCAGAGGGCAGGGATGACAGCTGGCAGGGCGACACACCCCTGTCGGGCAAGCAGAGGTCCAATGCCACTTCGCTTGCTGTGCCAAGCCCAGCAGTGGGCGTGTGCCAGGAGGGGACATTGGCCCTGCCCACGGCTCGCAGCTGCATCAGCCTCTTGTCAGCTGGACCCGGGGGGGACAGGGAGAGGGACTGCAGCCTCCAAAGTGGGCACCTGGCATGGTGCAATCTGGCTGTGGAGGTTGGCACCGGCTGGGCAGGCAGGGCAGGGCAAAGTCTGTGCTGCTGCTTGTGCCATCTGGATTTTATCTGCCGCCTCTGCCTTGCCTTGGCTCCTCTCCTCCTCCGCAGGGAGCCTGGCCACATTCCTGCCCTGCCGGGGTCTGCTCACAGCCCAGCTGTGCCTGTGCCACACTTCTCTCTCTCAAGGCCTTCCTGCCAGCAGCCAAGCACTGTTCGTGATGCTCTGGGAGCTGCTCATCCTCCCTGGTATCAGTTAGAGCAGAGTGTGTTTCCTGAGAAGAAAATGTCAGGAATCAGCTCGGATTTTCCATGGCAGAGAGGAGAGGGGAGTGTGCTGTGCCACGCAGGGCCCTGGCATTGCGTACCAGGGGCTGGCAGTGCATCTGGCAGAGGCATCAGCAGCTCTGCCCACTTCTCCCCCATCCCAGTGGCTTTTAAAGCAGCTCTTGCTGTCACAGAAACATCTCTTGTTCCAGCACTGCAGAACCACTCTTTGTACTTTGAGCAGGACCCTTGAATGCCAGGCAAGGTGCCAGGCGCCAGCAGCCAAGGCAGGGAGGGAACAATTGGCCCTGGCAGCAAGGAGCTGGAGCGGAGGTGGCAAACCCTGCTCTGCCCATGGGGACGGGTCCCTCCACAGTCCCAGTGCTGGGTGGCAGCTTCCAGGCCCCTGCTGTCACCTGGGGGCCCCCTTGCCTGCAGCCCAGCCCCACACGTGGGCACGGGTGTGTGGCAAGTCCCTGCCTGCCACACGTGGGTGTCTGCAGCCAGCCTGCTCCTGCCTCGCAGCACTTCATGCTTTTATGGTTTTGGAGCGTGCAGATGGGTTGAGTGTCCCTGGGGATGTGCTCTGGGGTACAGGGTAGGGAGCGCGGGCACTGAGCTGGGTTGGGCACCACAGCACCAGTCCCAGGGCTGCCTTTGCCACCCCTGCAGTGCCCTGCAGAGATGGCGAGTGCAGAGCCCGGCGCTGAGGATGCAGCTGAGGCTGAAGAGGCCGTGTACGAGGCGATGCCCTGTGACAAGATGGAGCTGAGCCAGCGGCTGGCCGTGGAGGAGCTCATCAGCACCGAGGCCAGCTACGTCCACAACATGCAGCTGTGCGTGTCCGACATCCGGGCACACCTCCAGGAGAAGCAGGTGACACGGGGCACTCCCTGCCAGCCTTGGGGACTGCAGGGGGAATCTGTCCAGAGCTATGAGATGCTCAAATCACTGCAGGTGCTCCTTCCACCTTCCTGTGCTCTCCCTCACCAGCCAGGCTCTGGGGTTGGGTGGACATTGGGTCTGACCCAGTACAGCCACCCAATGACCTTAACCTGGGAGTCCAGACATGTCACAGCATTCCCAAAGCCTCCTGAAACACAGCATCACTCACTGGGGTGTCTCATGGAGCAGGTAGAAGGTGACCAGCAGTGCCTCTAAAACACCTGCTCCATCTCTGATATATCTGGCTTAGCCTGGGGCATCTTTGTTCCCTTCAGCTGCCTGAGCTGGACCTGGAAGGACTCTTCTCTAACACCGACGACATCCTCCATGTCTCCAGACGGTTCCTGAAGGGGCTGGAGGCCACCCCTGGCCAGGGGCAGGAGCAACTGCTCTGCATCAGTAAGTGGTGCAATGTCAGTGGCTGCCCCGTGCCCCCCGTGTGGGGTGTGCCAGCCCAGCCCCCTGCCATGCCACCTCCTGCTCCTGCCTTGGCTCTGGGAAGCGCTGGTGCCACCACACCAGTGCCACCCACGGGGCAAGGCTGACCTGCCCAGCCTGCAGAGCGATGGGGACAGCACCAGGGCCAGCTTAGCAGGGTGCCCAGGGGGCAGAGCCCTGCCCTGGTGTGCTTGGCATTGCTCCACTGGCTTTGTCCTTCCAGCAGGCTGGGGATAAACCCTCTGCCTTGCCTTCCATGGGAAAGGACCCTCCTCTCCAGCCCCACTTTCCCTCCCCAGGCACGCTGTTCCAGGAGTTCAAGGAAGAGATGGAGGCTGTCTACAAGATCTACTGTGCCAGCTATGACCACGCCCTGCAGCTGGTGGAGAGCTACCGCAGGGACCCCCGGCTGCAGGAGCAGATCCTGGACACCCTCAATGCCACCGTGTAGGTCCCTCTGCTGAGCCACCACCTCCCTGTCCCTGTTTCACATCTTGGCTTTGCCCTTCTCCTCTCTGGACAAGCTGCCTGCGTGGATCTGTGTCACCAGGCTGGGTGTCATATCATGGCCACCACCTTTGTGGCATTTCCTGGTGGAATTCCTGGCAGCCTGTCCTGAACCCTTGGTTCAGAGTCTTTTATGATGGATCCCAAAAGAAGGGATGGGTGACATGCACAGCTGCTGCCTTCCCCAGGGAGGGCACATCCTCCACATATTGACCAGAGAGACACAGGCTGGCCCTGGGGGACCTGAACTGTCAGGGGGGTCACAAACACTGTCAGAGCCAGGAGAAGCAGCAGTGGCAGTGGAGCAGCTCCTGGGGTTCACTGCTTAGGGCACAGGTGATGTGATTCCCAAAAAAGAGATTGGTGCCTTCCTGTGGGTGGGAAAGGAGACACTGGCAGCACCCTCCCTCCCTGCTGCCCACTGATCCCATGCCCAGGGCTGGACAAGCACAGCGCTGCTCAGGGAGCAGGACACCCACCCAGGGCTGGCACTGCCCTCGGGGCTGGCAAGGACACAGTCCCCTGCAGCTGGAGGGGAGCAGCCAGAAATGCCCCACAACATCTGGGCTGCTCTCTGCCTCAAACTCTCCCAGAGAAGCCGTGGAGAGCAGCAGGGCAGGAAGGCAGCCACACACTCACCCTGAGCAATTCCCCTCCCCATCAGGCCTCACACGGGCGCGTCAGACCTCAGCTTCTTCCTGGTGATGCCCGTGCAGAGGGTCACCAAGTACCCTCTGCTGCTGGGGAAGATCCTGGAGAACACCCCGAGCAGTTCCAGTGCCCACTCAGCCCTGCAGGCAGCGGCTCGTGCCATGGCCCAGGTCAATGCCAACATCAACGAGTACAAACGGCGCCGGGAAGTGGGTGAGTGGGCACGGGCTTGGTGCAGGAGGGCACAGCACCCAGCCCAGCCCCAGTGGTCTCCTGAGCACTAATTCCCACTTAAATCAGTTCAAAGCTCTCCTGCCCTCCATTTAATCCTGCCTGGTGGAGCTGCAGACTGTGCAGGCAGCTCCTGGAACTGCCCTGGTCCTGTAAATGCCACTCTGGGCAAGACCCAAAGGCTGCAGGAGCAGGGTGGCATGGGGGGCTGGGGACAAAACCAGTCTGTCCACATTCCTGGGGCTGGGGAACTGGGAATAACAGTCCTGCGCTTGGGATAGGAGAAATCAGGCTCCCCATAGATGGGAGCTCACCTTTCTTTTTGGTTTTCCTAGTCCTTCCCTTCTTTGATGTGGCTTGTGCTTACCCTACCGATCAACCCCTGTGCTGCCCACCTTCCTAGCCTGCTCAGCCATGAACTCTCCTCTTCTGATCTTTTTTTCCCCTTATTTTGTGTCCTCCCACCCGAGGCAGCAACCAAATACAACAAGGCCGAGCACCTGACGCTGCGGGACCGCCTGGCGCGCCTCAACACCCACTCCATCGCCAAGAAAACCACGCGCCTCAGCCGGCTCCTCATGCACGAGGCTGGCATCGTGGCCAAGGTGGGCAGCCCTCACCTGCACCCCGGGCACCTGCTGCCCCTCCCTGGGTCGTTTCTGGGGCATTTTGCTGCTCCTGAAGTGCCCCAATGGCAGAATGAAGAGCACGGGGCCAGTATGGGGTGGGGTGGCTGGTGCTGCCTCCAGGTCCTCCATCGTCCCAAGGAGCAGTGGGATAGAGCAATGCAGGAATGCAGGGACACGCCTCACTCCCCACCCCAGAGCATTGCAGGGCAGCACTTTGACACCCACAGGACCTGCAGGACCCTTGGGCCCCCCAGAAAAGGGAAGACACCCCAGTGTTCCCCAGCACCATGACCACACCAAGAGCTTTGTTGCTGCCTGCACCAATGTTTTGACCCTTTCCCAGATTCATGGAGCTCCCCATGGTCTGCCCAGCCCTGTGAGCTCCAGGCAGGAGCCTGGCTGCTGTTTCAGCCCCCAGTGATGGGCATCAGCTCTGCCCAGGCTGGTGACAAGCTGCCTCTCTCCTTACAGACTGAGGACAAGGAATATGACGACCTGGAAGAGAAGTTCCAGTGTGTGGCATCCAGTGTGGCCACGCTGAAGGAGAACATGGCATCCTACCTGGGCCACTTAGAGGTAACACCTTGAGCACTGGCCAGGGGTTGGCCCTATCCCCTCAGGAGCTGTTCCTTGGGATTGTGGAATACTTTCAAGCCCTGAGGAAAGCAGGAGGTGTTGGGAATGTTCAGGGATTTGCAGCTGAGCTGTTGTGTCAGGGAGTTGCACAACACCCAAGATTGCTCCAGGTCCAGGGGAGTTTAAACCAAAGCTGAGGCTTTGACAACACTGTCTGAGCTGGTGTCATTTGAGAATAATCCGTCCTTAAACTTATCATTATTTCAAGGTCTTAAATGATTGAAAAGGCCGAGTGTTGTTCAGCCTGGGAATTCTTGCTTTAATCGTGTGTATAAGGCAGAAATGTCCCCAGATCAGTCCTGACAACAAATTGCCCTTCTGAAATCACCTGGGTCAGCAGCTGCTACGATTTTCTCATGGAAATCCCTTGGGGCATCTGAGGAAAATGAAAGTCTGAGTGCTGGCAAAACATGCAATCCCCAGACACAGCATTATCAGGAAAGCCTCGGGAAGTGGCCGAGGGTTCAGCAGCAATTCCTGGGCTGGAAAGACCTTGCAGGAAAGATTGACAAGGGCTGCCCACGCAGGATTGTTGGCAAGGAGCTAAAGGAGCGTGGTGCTGCCTCCCTTGCAGGCGTTCCTGCTGCCCACCCCGCACCAGTGTGACCTGCAGATGGAGCAGGGACCTGCCCAGCAGCATCGCCGCCTCTCCCAGCTCCTCCAGAGCACCGTTTTCCCCGAGTTTGTGAGTGCTCCTGCCCTGCACATCTCCTTCAGCTCTCCCATCTTCTGCCAGGGCACAGTGGGGGCTGGCAGCCAGGAGCTGAGGGCACCCCAGTGTCCTCAGAGTCCTCCAGAGCCCAGCTTAGCAGGCAGAGCCAGGAGTGAGTAACAGGATCCATCTGCAGTCCCTGGCACGTGGAGGGAGGGAGCAGCTCCAGGGGAGAAGGGAGGGCAGGGACAGGGACACAGCAAGAGCACAGCTCCTGAGCCCAGCCAGGGCTGGGATGAGCTGCAGTGTGTGCCTGATGTGCCTCCAGGGACATGGGGAGGAGACCAGAACAGCCCAAGGCAGGGGCAGAGGGCCCTTAAATGGGCTCAGGGCAGGGCTGAGGGCAGAGACTCAGCTGAGACTGCTCTGAGCCATTCCAGCCTCCTGCCCAGCTCTTTCCACAGAGCACAAGTTTGGAATTGTGTCAGGCTCCCTCCTGGGAGTTTGTGTTGGTTGGCATCCTGTGTGCCCTCAGGGAAAGATGTTCCAGGTGCTCCCCACTCCACACAAGCCCCTCCAGGGACCCCCAGGGCTCTGCCCCCGTGCTGCTGCTCCTGTCTGGGGGGCTCACGTGGAAATTGGGCTTCTCACCTGGCAGAAGCAGCGTGTGGACAGGCTGGTGTGGCAGCCCCTCTGCAGCCTCTCAGGCATGCTGGAGGGGCCCCAGCAGCTGGTCAAGAAGCGCCTGGACAAGCTGCTGGACTACGAGGAGATCCAGGAGAGGAAGAGCGAGACGGGCAGCGTGAGCTACGATGAGGAGGCAGCCATGAACACCTACCTGGCCATCAATGACCTGCTGGTGGCAGAGCTCCCCCGGTTCAACCAGGTGGCTGTGCAGCTCCTGGGGCAGATCCTGCGCTCCTTCAGCGCCCTGCAGCTGGACTTGGCTGCCCAGGTCCTGCACCATGCAGAAAAGGAGCTGGAGCAGGTGAGTGGGATCCTTAAGGCACATGAGCTGAGCTGGAACTGCCTTCTCCAGGTTTGGGAAATCTCTCAGACATCAGGGCACTGAAGGTTTGCTGTGGCCCACCTGTCCTTGCAGACACACAGCTCCCTGTGGAGCATTTGTAAGGATCTCACTTCCTTCCTGCCCAGGAAAAGCCAAATTTTCTCTTCTGCACTGTCAGAAACTGTCCTGCTTTCTGTTTGTGGACACTGCTGGTGATTTATTGATGTGCTGCTGTCTGAGAGATCAGTGTGAGCTCAGAGCTCCTGAGAGCCCTGTGCCAGGAAGGCAGGGAGCAGAAAGACAGCTCCTGGGCTAGGGAACAGCCTCCTTCAGCCCCATGCCCTGGGAGATGTCTCCCAGAGCTCCTCACTGCTCTAAACTCCTCACTGATGTTTGCAAACACGGGGAGGGAGGGCTGTCAGAGCCCTGGGGTGGAGCACAGCCCTGGCCTGAGCCAGGACCAGGAGGAGAACAAGATGCAGCTCAAAACCAGAGAGAAGCACCTTTGATCCCCTGTGCAAGGTGAATTTAGTGAATTTAGGTCTGCTCTCTTGCTTTCTCACCCCTTTTCTTCCTCCTGCTTCTCTTGTGCCTGTACCCAGAGCTCTTCCTCTGTCAGAGCCCTGCTGATCCCAGTCTGTCTCCACAGCTGCCCCATGGGCACATGCCCCTGCCCAGCTTCTGGAAGGTGGTGGAGGACAGCCTGCAGCAGTCGGGGGCACAGCTCCGTGCCTTCTGCCAGGCCTTTGACACCGTGGCACCCAGCCCTGGCACACAGGTAGGGGCTGGGCAGGGCAGCTGGATAGAGAGAGAGGTTGGACTGTGGCTTCCCAGTGCAGAAAATGCCCTTGGTGGGGAGGTTGGCTCAGGATGGGGCCCAGGGGGTTGCCACAGTATTTCCCCCAAGCCCCTCGGAGCTGGGGATAACCAGGGATGAAAGAGCTCAGCTCTGCTCATTCTGGACTCTCATCTCCAAACCTGGCGGTGGAGCAGGGAGTGTGAAGGAGTTTGTGCTCTTAACCTGTCCCTGGGATGTGAGAAAGGATGCAGAAAGGAGAGGGCTGGAGGGCTGGAGGGCCTCAGCACCCTGAGGGTCTCATGGAATGCTCGTGTGTCTCGTGCTCCCCACCAGCCTCTGACCCCTGCTGAGGAGAGGAAGGTCCTTTCCCTTGTGAGCAAGCACGGCCCAGACAAGCTTTACCAAGTGACCAGCAACATCAGTGGCAGCCGGGACTTGGACCTGACCTTGCTGAGGGGACAGATCGTGGCTCTGCTGCAGAGCGCTGACACCAAGGGGAACACGAGCAGGTGGCTGGTGGATGCTGGAGGTACTGTGGGCACTGTGGGCAGCCTCTCCTCACCTTGGCACCAGGGCCAGGTTCACCTGAATCATTTCCTTATCCTGGATAAAGCAGCAGGCCGTGGTCTCCTGGTGCTCCTTTCCAGGCTGTGCTCAGCCCAAGGCCACCTGAGCTTTGCCATCAGCTCCAAGGTTCAGGTGCCCTGACTGATTCCCCAGGGGAAGTGTCCTGGCTGGGGAAGGAGAATCCATGCACACAGAAACACATGGAATCCCCTTTTTGGTGGGGATTTCTCCTGGATACCCCCTAGTGATGGACAGGGCTGCTGTGCCATGCCAGGCCACAGCCAAATTGTCATTCCTGTCTCCTCCAGCCAGTGCTGTGTGTGCCAGGCAGCAGGGCCCCATGCCCTGTGTGTGTCTGTGTCCTGCAGGTCCCCGAGGGTTTGTTCCTGCTGCAAAACTCCGGCCCTACAGCCCTGTGCAAGTGCAGCAGCCTGTGATGCAGCTGCTGGGCCTGGACAGTGGCACAGAGACAAGGAGACATTCCTATGCGTCCCCTGAAGCTCCCAGGCCACAGGTGGCCACCTTCACCCCAACATTCCAGGTGAGAGTGGGGGACATCCCTGGGGCCATTTCTAGCAACACCACCAGCTCCCTGCTGGTCCTGGTGTGGGTGGGAAGGTGGACCTGCTTTTCCAGGTGCCCCCCTTGCTGGGACCAGGGTGGTCAGGGCAAGAGAACTGTCCTTGGTGGGTGCCCAGTCCCTCCATCCACGGCACTGCTGTGCTGCCCTCTGGGAACTGCCACGTCCTTCCCCTCTAGACTCCCAGCTCCAGCCAGGACTGCCTCTCTCCCTCCCTCCCTCCTTCCTTCCCTGCCTCCCCCAGGTGGTGGCCGGCTTCTCCTTCGCAGCGCGGAGCCCGCAGGAGCTGAGCCTGCAGGCAGGGCAGCCCGTGCTGCTGCTGGAGCCCCACGACAAGAAGGGCAGCACGGAGTGGAGCCTGGTGGAGGTGAACGGCCAGAGGGGCTACGTGCCCTCCAGCTACCTGGTGACCGTCCCCGTGCAGGACCCCGCGGGCTGGAGCCTGCCCGTGTGAGCGTGCCAGCCCCAGCAAGGGCAAGGATGGGAGCAGCCAGCTTGGCACCTGAGGAATCCTCACAGGAGATGCTGGAGGGAGGCAGCCCCCGGCTGGGAAGGTGGTGGGAGGCACCTGGGGGACGTGGCCCAGGGACATGGGCATGAGGATGGCACTTGGGAGGCACCTTTTGGTGGGAGGTGTGAGGGTGCCAGGTCCTGTGTGTGTGTTGGCACAAAGCAAAGCAGCACCCGGGAGTGAGGGCAGGTGGCTGCAGTGATCCGGGGATTTGCTGAAATCCCTGCAAGTGACAAATGTGTCTGGGGAGATGAGGCAGCGTGTCCCTGGTTAGAGCAGGATTGAGCAGCAGAGGAGCAGAAGGGTCCTCAGCCAGGCAGGGGACACTGGGACACCTGGGCACAGCACCTGAGCACTGGGGCACTTGGACACTGGCAGATGGGCACTGGGCACCTGGGCACCTGAGAATTTGGCTAGCTGGGCACCTGAGACTTTGGCTACTTGGGCACCTCAGTACCTGAGAAACTGGGCACCTGGGCACCTGAGAATTTGGCTAGCTGGGCACCTCAGTACTTAAGAAACTGGGCACCTGAATACCTGAGAATTTGGCTCCCTGGGCACCTTAGAATTTGGTACCTGGGCACCTCAGTACCTGAGAATTTGGCTCCCTGGGCACCTGAGAATTTGGCTCCCTGGGCACCTGAGATTTTGACTCCCTGGGCACCTGAGATTTTGGCTCCCTGGGCACCTGAGATTTTGTCTCCCTGGGCACCGAGTGCCTGAGCCCCTGGCAGCGCTGGCTGCGGCCGCCAGAGGGAGCCCCGCGCCAGCTCCCGGTGCCCGCCGGGCCCGCGCTGGGAGCGCCGGTGCGGGAGCGCGCGGGCACCGCCCGGCTCCGCTCCGCGCTCCGGGACCGACATCGCCCCTCCCGGGACCCCCGGGGCCCCCGTCCCCCTGCGTCCCCGGCGGGTTGGCACAGGTCCCATGGAAGAGGTTTTTGGGACAATCACTCCGTGTTGGTCCTGAGCCAAGGCTCGCTTTGAGAACGGAGACAGCCCCCTCGCACCATTCCCGGGGTATCCGTGCCTCAGTTTCCCCGTGGGTGCGCTGTTAGGAGATGCTGAGGTGCTGAGGTGGGCAGCCGTGCCGTGGTGCCAGAGGGGACTTCAGGAGCGCCCCGGGACTGGCACCCCACGCTGCCCATCCCTCACCGAGGCCAGCGGAGCACCTGGCTGGCGTCGCCGCGGCTGCCCTGGGCTCCTGGCGCTGCCCGCATCAAAGGTGCCCGTGCCGGCTGGCGAGCGCTGGCACGCCGGGCCCTGCGCCCTGCCCTGCCGTGCCCTGCCGTGCCGTGCCCGGGGGCAGCAGCACGCCCGGCCACCCACGGGCTCCCTCCCCACGGGCTCCCCAGTGCGGCCGTGGCTGCGGGCTGGGCAGCGGGGCAGGGCTGGCACGTCCTCAGCCAACCCTGAGCAGGTGCCAGGCGGGTGGGGACAGCCCCAGGCACTGCCCCGTGTGGGGCTGGGGTCCGGTGTGAGGGGCTCACCCTCCTTTCACCCGTACCTGGGGTGGCTGGGGGGCAGCCACCTCTGCCCAGGTGCCATAGAAATGCCCGAGGAAATGCTCAGCTACACCAAACCTGGGAGGGGACAGCGGTGCCAGAGCTGGGGACGTGTCCTGGGGATGCTCCCAGCCTGGGGAAAGGCTGGTGGGCTCCTCAGCAAGGGAAAATGAGCAGGCTGGGGGACGAGGGTCATTGAGCAGGGACTGTGTGTCTGTGCTTGCCCACCCAGCCCAGGCCCTGCAGCCACAGGGCTCACCCCTCCAGCTCCCTGCAGGTGGCTCCTCTGGATTTTTCCATCCCATCAGGTCGGCTTTCCCTCCCGAGTCACCTTCCTGCCAGCTCGGTGGGGTGCACAAGCAGTCAGCCCCGTGCCAGCCATGGCAGCAGTCGGGCAGGTCCTGCTCCACAGCCCTCGGGTGCCTGAGACCCTTTGGAGGCTGAAAGGTGACGGTGGCACACAGAGTGCTGAGCCAGCTGCTGCCTGGCCCTGATCTTCTCACTGGAAGGAGATCTGGGATGGTCAGGGCTTGGCTGGACATCCAGCAGGAAGAGGGCAATGAGTTCATGTGGCTCCTCCGGCCTGTGGGTGCCAAGGGCTGAGCTGGGCTCTGCAGTTCCCCCCAGCCCTGCTGCCAGCCTCGATGGCCAGGGGACCTTTCCCAGGGGTCTGTCCCCAGGACAGGACCTGGTACTTGGCTGCAGGACGTGGGTGCCTGCATCCCTCCCTTCTCCCTGAATTCACCCAAACTCACGGCGCTGCTGCTGCCCTGAGCCTGGAAGTGCCCTCTTGGAGTCACGGGAGGGCACGGGGCTCTTCCAGCCCAAACATGAGGGGGGATAAAGGGCACAAGTGTGCCTTTAAATAGCCTGTCAAGGACAGGCTCTCCCGGGAGGAATGCTCTGGCTGGCCCGGTGGAACATGCCTGCGGCCGGGGGCACGGGGGGACAGCTGGGCAGGGCCGGCTGCTCGCCAGGAGCACGGATCAAGGTTAGGCACGGCCCTGGCCCGCTGCCACCGTGCCATGGCTTGGCACGGGGAAACAGAGCCGTGCAAACAGGGAAATGAATGCCAGGCCAGGGGTTTGCCGTGCCCGGGGCTGATCGGGAGGTGGCAGCGGAGCCAGGCTCCCCGCGACCTGCCCGCCAGCCCGGCCGGAATTTGGCAGCGGCGCTGCCTGGCTGCAGGAGCAGCTCCGGGGCAGCTCCGCCTGTCCCAGAGCGGCTTCTGCGCTCCTGTCCGGGCTGATTCATATCCTGGACGTGCAGGCATTTGGATATTGTCCACCCGCGGGGTGTGACAGTGTGTGGCTGTGTCCCCAGGGCGCGGGTGCCAGCCGGGCCACGTGCCGGGAGCAGCTCTGTGAGCCTGCTGCTCCCTGGGGACACATCCCAGGTGAGATCCCGGGATACCAGGAGGATGGCTGAGTGCCCAGGTGTCCATGTGCCCATCGGCTCTGCTGGGGCACCCCGGGGGCAGGGAGGTGTGAGAAAAAGCAACTGCCACAAGCCCCAAGCCCAGGCTCCCAATCCCAGAGCCATCCCCTGAGCACGGGGTGCTGAAAGGGCAAAAAGAGCCAGGAGGAGCAGGATGGCTGCCCTGGGCTGAAGGGCACAGCCAGCCCGAGTGGCTTTAGGCACGGAGTTGCCCACGCTGCCAGGCTGAGCTGGCTCCCAGCAGAGGCAACCTGCGCTGTAATGTTCCCTGCCACCTGCCCATGGTGGCCCACGAGGAGCAGCCCGAGCCCCGGCCACCCTCGCTGGCCCCTCACATGCCCACCGGGAGCAGCGTGGCCCGAGGAAGGGCTGAGCCCACGGAGAGCGAGCCCGGGGCTGCGGAGCAGGAGAGGAGCCGTGAACAGCAGCGCTCGCTCCAGGCTGGTGCAGCTGGCACCTGAATTGTCTAATAAAGTGTGAAATTGCTTTCATGCTCTGCTACCTTTGCTGAGCTGGACCGTCATTACAGCCCCCCCCTCGCCGCCCGCACCGGCTGTGCCGTGTCCCTGCCAGCTGAGCCCCGGGCCGGGCTGGCACTGCCCTGCCTGGCACTGCCCCCAGCACCCCCGTGCCAGGGGCTGCGGGTGCTCCCAGCGACCCCTCCCCACCTCGCAGCCCCTCCGCTGTGCGGGGGCATCACTGGGATGGCGGCAGGGATGGGGGCACCGGGATGGGGATCTCCCCTGGCATGGGGCTGGGGATGGATCCCTGGCATGGGGATGGATCCTTGCCGTGGGGCTGGGGGCTGCCGTGGAGCTGGATCCCTGCCATGGGGCTGGGGATGGATCCCTGCTGTGGGGCTGGATCCCTGCCATGGGGCTGGGCTGGATCCCTGCCGTGGCACTGAGGTGGATCCCTTGCCGTGGGGCTGGGGCTGGATCCCTGCCGTGGGGCTGGGGATGGATCCCTGCCCTGGGGATGGATCCCTGCCGTGAGGCTGGGGATGGATCCCTGCCGTGGCACTGAGGTGGATCCTTGCCGTGGGGCTGGGGGCTGCTGTGGAGCTGGATCCTTGCCGTGGGGTTGGGGGGCTGCAGTGGAGCTAGATCCCTGCCGTCCCGCCCCCTTATCCCGCGGGATGCCCCGTGCTGCAGGGATCAGCTCGGGTCGGAGCCCTGCCCTGCGGCTGTGCCAAAGCCCTGCCCGTGCCCATCAGATTGGGCTCCATCCGTGCCCGGAGCCGCCTCAGACCCTGCCGGGGCTGCAGAGAGCTCCCACCCGGCAGGGACAGAGGGACAGCCCGGCCCCCCTCGCCGGTGGGTGACGAATTGCTCCTGAGCCACCTGGCTGTGCACAGAAACTGTTCTCCACCTCTAATAACAATAATCAATCATCCTGCTCTGGGCAGGGGACGTGCAAGGTTTTCCAGGGCTGGGGAGCTGGCAGAGGGATTTTGGGGGGCTCCCCTGAGGGGACACAGAAGCCTCCGCTCTGGGGGTGGCTTCCCTCCTGCACTGCCCACCAGGAGGGCAATCCATGACCAGGTACACACCCTGCCAGGGGAAGAGCCAGCTCCTCGGGGCTGTGAAAATCTGATTTTGGAGGGAAAAGCAGCTGGGAGCCCAGGTGTGGCACGGGGCACTGGGTGCTCCCTGCTCCACAGGGTCCCACGGGTCCCCATGCCAAAGGAGCTGCTGAGTGAGGCCCAGGAAAAGGGATTTCTACAGGGATCAAGATACTTTGCCCCAGGGAAGTGGTGCCACCTTTTTCCAGCTACTGATAAAGTTAAACCCTTGATCTGGTTAAAGATTTAGCCCACAAGGCAAGCCAGGGTAGGACAGCAATGCTGTTTGTGCCACCAGCTTGATGACACCTCAGTTTTTTCCTAATATCTGACCCAACCCTACTCTCTGTCAATTGGAAACCGTTCCCCTTGTCCTTCCACTGCTGGAGAAAAGCAGTCCCTGGGAGTGCTCCCTAACCCAGCAGCATTCCCGAGCCCTCCTCCACTGGCATTCCTCCTCTCCCAACCTGCACAGCCTGTTCGCAAGGCCCCAAGTGTTCATTGAATTGCTTCCCCCAGAGCTGCCAATGCTTTAGGGACTGGAGCATCTGCACACACCACGGGCAGCCTGCTCTGAGCTTACTCCATGCCTGCTCCGTGCCTGCTCCGTGCCTACTCTGAGCCTGCTCAGCCCTTCCCCTGGGATGCTGCAGCTGCAGGGAAGGAAAAGGGAGCGAGCAAGGACAAGGCCAGGTTGGTGTGGAGCTGCAAATGCCCCAATTGCAGAGACTCCGGGAAGGAAGGGGATGGAATCCAGGCAGGAGCCCCAGGAGCTCTGGGAACCCCTTGGTAAGGTCTACAAGCACCCAGAGGGGCTGGAAAGAACCTAGAGGGGCTGGAAAGCATCCAGAGGGGCTGGAAATCATGCAGAGGGGCTTGAAACCATCCAGAGGGGCTGGAAAGCATCCAGAGGGGCTGGAAAGCACCCAGAGGGGCTGGAAAGGATCCTGCTCCCCTCCCCACTGTGTCGGGCACTCCGTGCAGCCCATAGCGCCATCGGAGCTGCTCATCTCTCCCCAAAGGAGATTTGTGGGTCTAAAATCTGCCTCTTTCAGGCTGCTCCCGACAGGAGCTACAAGCTGCAGACACGAAGCCTTTTGTGAGCCCGAGCGCGTTCCGGCTGGGATTTACCTAAAACAGCCCCAGGGAGGAACGGCTGGGCGGGGATGTGCGGGGAGAGGGAGGGAGGCTGCCTGGTGTTTGTTTTTACTAATGAAGCCCCATAATCAAATCATTTCAATTTTAATTGTGAAGCCAGCAGGCAGATTTCTGTCTCCAGATGGGACGTGATAGGAATAGTTGAAGGCTGGGCACGTTCTGCCACTCACCTTAATGCTTGGAACAAGGCAGATGGGAGCAGCACTGGGGAGAGCTTGGGAAGAGCCTGGTCCCCCAGGGATGAGGATTTGAGCTCGGATCAGGCCCAAAACCTCTCCTGCTTGGTTGATCCAGGGAAATGAACCCCTGGCAAGATGTGCTGCACCATTCCCAGGTCTGAGGCAGGAGCTGATTTCCCTGCTTTCATCTCCCAGCTCTGCCAGGATACATGGAATCTATTTGTGGCTTCCACTTACCATCTCATTTTTTTGGGTGTTTGGACTTTGGGAAAAGAGGAAAATAAAGAAACTGGGTCATTTTCTATTTATTTGGAAGAGATGAGATGTTAACCCTCCAGCTGCACAGAGCTCTGCTCACGTCTCTGTGGGACTGGCAAACTTGGAACAAGTGATGGGGGAGAGGAGAAACCTCCTTCTTCCTCAGCAAAGAAAATGTGCCATTGCCCAGCTTCTTGTTCAGGCTGGGGGGAACTGGGTGCAGTGGGGTTGGGATTGCCCTCCCAGTGTAAAGCAGTTACCTCAGGCAAAACACATCAGTTTGCTTCTTGTGATGGAGAAATGGACCTGGATTGCTCTGGGAGTGATTAAATCCTCCAAGGAGGGGCATTCCCACTGCCTGCCAGGCCTCAGCAGTCACCCAGGGGCAGGGGGTGGGCATGGAGGGATGTCAGGGAGGGGGGATATCTCCAAACCAGAGAGATTTGTTCCTCCCAAAGAGGATGAGGCCAGAGGTAGAGCGTGATCCAGGCAGGTCACACCAAGTATGGAATACCTTGTGCTCCTCTTGGTGCCTTCCCCACAGCCATAATGGGGCAGAGCCCAGCTCTTATCAGGGCTGGCTTTCACCTCCTCGAGCTGCTGCCCTCCCCATGCCCACAGTCCAGCTCCCAGAGCTGACAGCATTTCTGGAATCCCCTGGAAGGAATCCAGGTGGGGAATGCCAGGCACAGAGCAGCCACAGCATCCCTCTGGCCGGGCCTCTTCACTCTTATCAGCTCTCCCTTTTCGTGCCTGAGTCATCAAGGACAAGAGCATCAAATCAGAAATAAAGTCATTACCTCGCTAAGCAAATACAGATGGAAACCTCACTTTATTTTTTGAAATCGGAGCCCTGGCTCCTGAGGGCTTGAAGTGGCACCTTCCCTCTGCCAGCCTTCCCTTGGCTGGGTGTGCTCAGCCCCAGGGACAGCCTGAGTGAGGAGAGGAGGGGGAGAGGGGCACTCTCCTGGCAGCCCATGGATGTCCTGGGATGGGGGAGCTCCGTGCTTGGTGCACCCTCGCTCTGGTGGCTCCAGTTACAGGAACTGGGCACGTCCAGTGGGAGTGACAGCCCCTCTGCTGTCCCTGTGTCACCCACCCCTGCTGCCAGCACAGCCCCCTTTGCCCCAGGGCTCACCCCTGGCACCTCGTGCCCCCCACATGTCTGCAGCTCACCATCCCATCCCAGCGCCGATCAGGGATTCTGCTCTCCTTCTCCCTCCTCTTATATCTTTTTCCCACCATGTCCAAATGGGAATTAAATTGAGGCCACTAAACTCATTTGTGCTGGCAGCCGTGCTGGGGCTGCAGGCAGCGCTTCAGCCCCGGCTCCCCGAGCCAGCGAGCAGCTGCCAGGCTCCAGCAGGGCCCCGCAGTGTGCTGGCTCCTGCTGCCGTGCCCGGCGTGCCCCTGCCTGCCCCACGGCCAGCCAGGGCTGGGGTTGAGCCCAACCTGACCAAAACATGTGCCCGAGCAATCCCTTCCTCATGTGAGCCGTGCTCAGCTCCGGCTGGGGCTGCTGCGCTGAGCCTGGCCCGCAGCCCCATCCCTGAGGCTTCTCCCGGTGTCCCGGGGGCTCTCCCGGTGCAGCCCCGTGGGGAGGGGATGGAGACAGCCTGGGCAGCTGCCCCCACAGCCGGGCTCGGCCTCGGGGGCTCAGGCAGCACCACGAGGAGATGGGGATGAGCTGGAGCCGGGTAGGAGTGTGGGACACCAGGGCAGGGCTGGGGGTGACCGGGGGTGTCTGGCAAGGAGAGCACCCAGCTGGCACTGAATGAGCTCTGAACCAGGCAGTGCCACCCCAGCAGGGCTGGTTTCCATCAGGCAGGAGCAGGAGGAGGAGGGATGCTGGTCATGGGTGAATTGTTCCCTTGCCACCCAGGAAAATGTCCCTGGAAGTGCCTGAGGACAGCAAAGGAGGGGAAAACCTGAGTGTGCCGGGAGGGAACAGCTGCTGGGAATTTCAATGACCGCCCGTGAATGCTGGTTTTGTTTTGTCCCAGCCACGGCTGTGCTCTGCCTCGGCCAGGCAGCTTTCAGACCCTGCTGCTCACGGGGCTGTGCGCATGGAGCTCCTCGGGAAGAGCCAGGGAGAAACCTGAGCTTGAGAGCAGCCCTGGTGCAGCTCCCTGGCCCTGCTCGGCAGAGCAGGCAGAGCCTCAGCAGCAGGGATGTGCAGGAGCTGAGGTGGGCTCTGCCCAGGGCCTCCAGTCCAGCTTTGTTCCTGTCTGACAGAAGGAAAAATGAGGGAAGGAGAAGAGATGGTCAGGAAGTGAGTGAGGTGTGTTTCCTGCATCCTTCCTGCACAATTCCTGCTCAATTCCTGC